ATAACAGCTAGTAATTATGGTGCTGTTAGATACCATACAATAGATAAAATAGTTTTAAAACAATTTAACAGGGTTATACTAGTCGGGTTCACAGGTGAAAAAGTAGGTTATGAAAGTAGCTTACTGCACTTATAGAATTACAACACACCGGTCGTTCGGATTCGGGCCTTACCTGGTGACTGAAGGCTAGACAGACATTTTATTCTCCTTTTATGAGTAGAACTAAAATAAAAGTTCATTATTTTCAATAAATACTACAGTTTATCACCGGAGTCCCTTGAACCAGATTCACAGAAGTTGAACAGGTATTCCAATGAATTTCGCAGTTTTACAATAAAGGTCAGTTTTTGACCTAAGTATAATTCGGCCTACTAGCAGAAGAATGGATGGGTTAGGAAGTTAGATAATATTCATGTTACTGGAATGCCGGATAATACATGATAGTCTGAGATGTTTGTAAACAACCAGTTAATGTAGTGGAAAAGAGAACAATAAACATGTGTCACAGTTTTATATCCAAAATTGGAACAGAAGTTACTGAAGAAATAACTGCCGTAGCTTCGTGCGAGGATAGTGATATGAATTTGCTCCCAGAAGTTAAACTGTCTGATCCTAAGTTTTCAGACTAAATAGTGCTGCTAGGTAAAGAGCCAGGTAAGTTGCGAACTTTTCCTGTATAGTCTGAGTGTCTGTGTAACCATGTTTAGTATGCGTTTGGCACCTTCTATGTGTAAAATACTACTACAAGATTGGGTTGGCCTAGCCCCCTACCTAACTCTCAATGGGAAGTAATAGAGGAAGTAGACCTTTTGCTATCTGGATTGCTATATCTCACCTGGCGAACGAGTCACAGATGCAGTGTTGGCACGCTTACGAAGGCGCCATTGACATTTGCTAACTTGAGACATCTGTAGCACCGTCGCGACATCTGGCTGTCTGGCAAGGGTCAAGTGTATGCTGCGGCACTTTGATCAGTCTTGCTGTACGGTGCAGATATTGGACCATTATGGGTATAGGATAAAAGGAGATTGCCGATGTTAGAGCGCCACTGTCCAAGCTGCATTTCACGAGCCTGATGGGGAAACCAGATAAGCAATGCTGAGAATGGGCGCAGAGGTTCCGGTAATCGCGGTCGTCCACTAGAACAAGTGGTCGACCTCCACAGACCACGACGGTTTGAACATGTGTTGCGCATACCACCACATAGGTTATCACGGCGCGCGATGCTTGCCGAAGCAGGAAGCGGTTGGAAAATTTTCAAGGGCGGTCAAACTAGAACCTGATATGAGGATATGAAACCCTAATCAGGAGACTGGGTCACATTGATGCCGTTAGGTTTTACATAGGGTGTAATTGTGAAGACACAGCGATGTCGGTAGGGGTGAAAATTACCTTTTAATTGCCTTTTAAGTTACCCGCAGTAATAAAAACGTCGGCTTATTTTCACCCGTGCAGATATCGCTGTGTTTTCCCAATTACAACTTATATAAAACGTATCACTTGGTGCATCGAATTTTTGATAGACTCCGAACGTCGTTCGAATCTGACCATGCTGTCAGGCTTCTTGAATGGGGACCCCGAGATCATGGTAACCTGCGGTCAGAGATATTGAGTGATATGGCTGGGTGTCGCAAACAGTAGCGCTCGAGCATCTACTCATTGTTCTTGCAACCCAAATCTTAATAAATTCTCCATCTTCAGTTTGACTCCGCTCACAGCATTCCAATCTTCCATCTGCCCCTTCATTCAACTGGGCAGCCGAAAGGGAGTAGCCGAAATCAACACATGAAAATGTATCGTTAATGGTTGTGAAAACTAAAACTTAATGAAGAAAGTTTGCACCGTGTTCGTTGTAATAGATACGGATCTAAAACGGGGAAGCTTATCCTTGGTTCTTCAAAATAGNAAATAGGCTGAATAATACCAAATTTAACTAAGATCTAACAAATAAGACTGTTTTGCACAGCTGATTTTGAAGTATTGAAACGAGCTTGATTGTTAAGTATGCTATTGCACTCAAGAGATCACTGTTTTGTCTTAATGAAACAATACAACTTACTTTCTCATGTATTTTCTTGATAAACACTACAGTAAACACACTGTAAAGTCCGGCCTCGATACTTTTTTTACAGGAGAGAGAATTTGCTTACTAATGGCCCGAAATGCTTCGTAATCTTTACTCACTTGGATGGATTACGAATCGAAATATATAGAAATTGTCTTTGAAAGTGAATTTTACTTGTTTTTTTCCGTTTTGGTAGATTTGAAACCATGTAGATACTGCGGACGCTCGTTTAGTGAGGCTGCCATTAACAAACACGTTGTACATTGTGAAGAAGTCAGTCGTCGCATGCCAATCACTGGTGATGAGAAGAAGCGAAGAGAAGAGGCATTAAGCCGTTTCAAATCTAGGATGAAGGTATGTGCTAATTTTACAAGTACTGCGGTAGTTCTGATGGCTCAGATCATTTGAGAGCAATGGTTGAAGGTTCTTCTGACGTTAGACCGGTTGCAAAGACAGCACCCAAAACCGGTGCCTCTTAGAAATAACAAATTATTCAGGGTTGGAAGAGTTATAGGTCTGAAAGTAAGAATAGCATGTCGTTCGAAAAATATAGGATTTATTATAATTCAATAACGACAGTAAATTACAAGAATTTTGAAATGATCTGTTGTCTAACTAATCCTTTAAATACTCACTTATGTGAATGACTTTTGTTGCAATATACCGTTGCTTATGTTTTGACAATTACTAAACCAATACTACGCAGTCGTTCGATGTCTTCATTTGTATATTAACTTGCGGTAGTCCTTTGGGTTGTACTCATTTAACGTTTTTTCACTGATTTTTCCAGTTTTATGCTCTTTTCCTAGCTGTATGTGTATATTAAGTTTTATTTCTCAAAAATGACACTACTAGTCTGAATCCAAAAATATACTGTACTTAGTTAGGCATTGAGAAAACTGCTGACAGTTAAAATTTCTAAATGCATCCAAACGGTAGTCTGTTTAAATTTAATAAATGAACTGAAGCTTTCTATGCATGAACGATACAAATACTTACCTTCCTTTATTCCGAGCTCTAGATTTAGCGGCCGCAGTTAAACCTAGACTCCATGTTCCGGGCACGGATTTTTTTCCATTTTATTTTTTCTGTTACTGAAATGCGTTGATTTCTTTTTTTCTCCATTTCTGTTGTAAGTATCGGACTGTTCATCGTATAGACGACTTGGATACATGGTCTACATCCTATCTGTCAGAACATAATATCTCCAATGTATCGACATCAATCACTCCGTATCCATCCCCCACCTCTTCGGTCTCGATACAAGAAGCCTGTTCGCTAATTACCGGGTTGAGTGAGATAGACGATACGTTCGGTTTTGGGCAATCCTGGACCTGTCCGCCATCCAGTAGCGGGAACAGTAGTCCGTGGGACGTGGCTCCCCAGTCAAGCAACTGCAATCAATTGCTGCAGGCATCTGAAACAGCACCAACATTACCAGGTACTAAACTTATATCAGTTTTTATAAGAGAATAGGAACCTAGTTTAAATTGTGTGATGTTTATCATAAATGTCATTTGCAGGAAGCCTTGGTTTTTGAAGGCATTTGTTGGAAAGATTATCATAATAGCATTTTCCAGTAAGTTCTTGGTAGTTATAAAAATATTTGTTACAACTAACAATAGAATAAAGATGTAATGATCCGAAAGAGCACCGTGGACTAGATTGCTTAAGGTTTGGCTACTGACGTTTCAAAAGGATAAACTATTGGTCTGGAAAATGTTATTTGTTTATAGCTCGACAGTACGGGATACAAGAGTCAAGTGATGATTTAACTTATAAACTTAGTGAAAACCCTACAAAACGTCGTTTTGTTGGAACAACAAGGAATTGCATCTGCTTTTGGGGACTTTCACTCAAGCAGTTTAGGGTAAACATTGATCCTTAAAAGTAAGTCAGTAATTGGATGCTGACTAATTATCCTAGAAACTTCCCCTGCCTAAACAACCATCAGTTCACCCACTTTATATGTATATGCAGTTCGCTTGTTGTGACATGCGTAACCCAACATTTCTTGTATTCTGCCACATTGTATTTGAATTTGACGATAGGTATGCGAAATTTAGACTGTCTTGCGTGTAAAAGCCATAATGAATTATGGTAAAACTCCGATGTATGCATGCATGTTTATACACCTGCACAACATTTTTCTCGGAATTATTGTGAAGAGTGGGGCTATTATCTTAAAATCACACAAATGATAAAATAACAAAAGTTTCAAAATGTGCACAGAAGAGCAAACAAAAAATTGTTTCTGTTGTTATCTTAATCCACCGTAATTGCTTGATTTCTGTTTTGATCCGTTTAGTGCCCCACTCCACCCATCTTCTGCTCCTATTGTTGTTGTCCTGGCACCATGCTAGTTAGAAAGTCAGTTATATATATATATATCCATCCTATGTTATAAGATATTGGAATGAGAAACGGTTTTCACTAAGAAATACCAAATCGTCATCATGGTACCGTCATGTTTGAAATTATATTTACCTATTAATCAACTGTCATTGACAAGGTAAATCTGGTAGTTTCAGTCTAATGCGTTTTGAGCCTAATTTTGAATTTGAGGGATTGACTACTATATCAAACGTTACTTGACCATTTTTAACATTACTCTATAGATTACAGCACAACCCCTCAAGTATCTCAATTTCGTAGTGGAGACATTCCTGCGCATGTGTCTTCTGCAGAGGAACCTGAACCAGATGTCTCAAGCTCATTCAATTGTTCTTCGCCATCCACTGAGTCATCCCTATCAACTATTTCTTTCGTGAGTTCTCCACTTGAAGATAGAATTGCGACTATTGAGAATCAACACCCAAATCAACGAGGGAACCAATACCAGAAGCACTACCCATGGTCTCCAACGGTGTCATCTTTTGTCCATCGCTCTGTCATCGGCCCCAATCAACATGGAGAACATACGGCAAGCTGCAGCATGAAATCCGATTCAGTGGAGTATTCTGATCGGGATTGTGTGAATTATGCCTGTACGCTCCCGATGAAGGAGAAACGTGATCCTCTCGAGGCAGTTGATAATTCAATGCAGAAAAGAGCCAAGACCACATTTGTTAAAGAAAATTATCCGCCTTCTGGACAACCGGAATGTGTTGAGGCCTTTGACTTTAGCGGGACATACACCAACGCGATCCCCAGACGGGATTTCGAAATCCCGGCTAAATCGCGGAAGAATCACTCCATACCGAGGTTTTGCTGCCGTAATCAGGGCGATCGTTGTTGCCACAGCTCCTGTCGTACCGGTTTGCATCACACGTTGCAAAGGAATAACCTTTCTGATAGAGAATATTCTCCAGATTATTTCATCTGTCGTACATTGGATCGAAGTCAAGAGCTGAGCGAAGCACAACTGACTCGAATCCCGGTTTCACATAATCGATCACAAGCGTCAAATTTATCTTCATGTTGGGAATCACATATGGAACTCGGTTTGAAGAGACAAGGCACTGTGGAGAAAGTGGCTCAGATAAATGTGACAGAAGCTGGAGTGTGCTGTACGCACGGAGTACGCGAATTCACTCACTTTCCGCTATTGTTTTAGGAAGCGTTTTTGAGGGCAGTCAGGTTTTTGATAGCTAATTGGATTTGTCTAGTATTCATGATACACAGGCTGTTAATCTATATTGTGAAGTTTCCAACTGGTTCCGGAAAAATTAATTCTTTTCATTTAGCATTTTATAAGTCTATCTGAGTGTGAACGATATTTTGTTTGCAATCTAATTGTGGCACAAACCTTTATCAACATCAATCCACGAAAGTTTTGTTTTTCGATAAAATTAACCTTCTGAGGTGAAACACTGAATTGTCATATTAGGTCTGTTAAATTATATTTAGTTTACAGCTGAGGTAGATAAAATGCTTTGGGTTTTTGCTTTAAAATGTGGGAGAGAACTGTGGGATACCATTAGTAACTTTCTCCAGCTACTGTTCTCGTTCGATTACATTCCTTTTTTCCCTGTGAAACGAAAACTGTTTTATGCGCATAATGAGCGATTTTTAATTCTTTCAGAAAAATGAACTTATTATTATTTTGATCCTGGTTGCGATAAGGAGTATTTGACTCATTTTTAAAGTAGGCGTTTTTGCCAATTTGTCATTGATCGGTTGATCAGCTGTCAGTTTGATTTAGAGGGTTATGCTATTATTTCATGTGAGTATTTGATTCAATTTCAAAGGGGAAATTCGTCGTGTGTAGAGTAAATTAAGCGTGGACTTAAAAGGTAGGACGGACTGTACTGCTATTTTAATCTGGTAGGGTCTCATCAACAGTGCGAATGCATCGATNCATCGATTCAACTGGACATCGAACCCGGGATCCCCGAGACAGAGCGCAAGCATGCTAGCACGCGAGTTTGTTACGGGCCACAGACCTCGTTCATCTCAGCATTAGCCTCAGGGGTTATGACTCGATTGGAAACAATCACAACCTGACGCATTTCCTCTTTGAACTTGAATGAAGTCCTTCATTACTCACATAAAATAAATCATTTATTAGCCCATCTGTTTAGGCGTAACGGTATTCAAGTTCAAGTGAAATGCATCGATTCAGTTGACTGCAGTATTTTGGCATCCATAGGAACCATATNNTTTGTCTTTCGCCTTAGCGCTACTAATTCTGTCTTATTCTATTCACTTTTTTTAACAAACCGTTCAAAATAATTCTGGGAAACTTCACACGAACTAACATACGAAAGGTTGCCCAATATTTGTCTGATCTTTATAATAAAATGCTGGCATCTTTAGCATTTTGGACGGTAATTACGATAACATTCAATGAACAATCTTCCTTGGTTTTTGTTACTGAGTGGAACGACTTGATATTGCCAAATCCCCATATTATCTAGGTCATAATAATAATTATTGGATCTCTTTTTGAGTTGGTCAGTGATAGTTTAGCTGAAACCGATATATCCAATCATCTTGTTGGCAAATCTGATGAGCTGATTACCGCCACTACTGAGCCAGATGCTGATCTAAAAGAAATCGAGGGATTCTACGTGATTCCTGCTTTTGATAAGTCTACGTCCAAATGTGGAATAAAAATGACAGATATAAAACTGGCTGGGGAGAATGAGTCACAAGTGGTCAAACTGGTACAAACAACGGAGGCGGAGCGTACAGAATCTGTTCGGGGACCACCGAATTCCGTGAATTTGAGGTAGGTCCTGGATTACGTGCTTTATTTGCGTATTGTTGTCTTTGGTCAGAAAAAAGTGTAATTTTGTGTTTCTATTTTGTATAAATTGTTCAAGCATATATGCTTGCATTTGCGTTCGAACTGTACACTGTTCTTCACACAAAATAAAATAGACAATTTGATGTGAAGAAGTTTGTCATCTGACTTCAAACAGATGAATGATGGGAGCGGGTAATTTTCGGGAAGTGTGGTCCTTTAGTGATAAACTTGCAATAATTTCAGCAAAAGCTAGTGAGAATTGTTTATCCTTTTGCGATGCTGCCGGTCAGCCCATAAAACTAGAACAAAAGCATTATTGTTAGTTGCAGAATGGTACTAACGTGGTATTCCCAGGAGAATAATGTACTCGTACATACCATTCAAAGTGGGCGACGATTTCGACATGCTTTATGAAGTTAACTATATTTCATAAAATATCAATACAAGGAACTCCAGAAGCTGTTTATAATCTGTAAGGTAACTCTAAAAATTCGCAAGCAAAAACGTGTGTTCAATCACTATCTCTACCTTTTATTTCAGCTCTTGATTGACTGCATCTACGCCCGAGGTTTGTAGCAACCCTATAAAATCATTTTCATCTTAAAGCATCGATGTATTTTCCTGCATCGCACTCTTGTGACTAAACCACGTTTAAAAGAATGCACATAGTTTCAGTCTTACGCAACATTATTCATTTTTTCTATTCCTTCTACTCCGCTTAGATAGCTCGTGAATATTCACGGATAACAGACAATTAGATTTACATGTGAAGTGCTTGAGAATTTGTGCAAACAGAAAGATTCCTACACAAGTTTAGGTTACTTAATGATAGTCAGTAGTCTAATTTGAAAATCATATTTTACCAAAAGATTGCTTTGACCGTGAGTTAATTGCACATTTTGCTATTTATTATTATTAATATTATTATTATTATTATTATTATTATTATTATTATTATTATTAATATTATTCGGTCATCTTCTTCACAAAAGTGCTGAGTTTTAAATTGCAATCTTTTAAATTACCGTCTCATTTCACCAGGCGTCTACGGGTTGGTTAATATGTGCCAGTTCGCATTGAAGGATTCAATGTTTGGCTGTTTTTTCTTTTCCCAGTACTGCTGTATCCGATCATGAAAGACTACATTACATTCCCTCAGCCTACCCAACCGGTGCACCTGCGTCAATGTTAATTGCTAAAGCAGTATTTCAACCGAAAGAAACTGAATTCTGCGTCAAACACTTTCCGTTAGTTTCAGCACCGTTTAAGAAGAAAAAATCACAAAATACAATAGAGAAGAACTGCAAACCGATGGACGACCCGCGGAATGGCTCAAAACTAGTTCCAAGTTTTCATAATGAAGAGATGAATTTTTGTCACGAGTGCGGGAAACGCTATGTGTCGGTGTCAGCAAACTATTGCTCCTACTGCGGCACCATTCGTTTGCGATCAGATGTGGAGCCGAGTTCAGACTCTACGATTATAAAACACCAACAGGTCGTTCTTGTAAGCGAGAAATCTAACCACAAACCCGAATGCACCAGAGCCTCATACGCCTTTGATTCCATTCGAAATCTTTGCATGTTTCAATAACACACGACTGGTAACAATTTGTTTTTAAAAAACGTAAACCAGACCATGAGCATTTTTAATTGTTATGGACAATGAATAAAAAAAACCTTTGTATGAATTTTCTTTGAAATATCCGCCTAATTTAACAAACTCGTAAAATTCAAAGCATTTCTTTGAAACGCAGGATTCAGCGGTAAAGGATGTTTGTCTCCTTTCAAAACACATCCTATCCAGAGATTACTTGAATTTTACTTTTATTCGTCGTGAACCACAATATTTTCAAAGAAAATGGGTTTAACCGAACTATTGTTCTCAACTTCCACTCTTGGGCATACGTAGTAAATTTGGAATTTGAATGCTGATACGTTGGCACTCAGAGTTTTCAACCTACGAATCGAGATGTACAAATCGTATAAAGTTATCCATCCTTAGGAATAGCCAAAATTAAGTTATTTTTCAATAACATAATTTGGTCGGAGCTGTAACGGGCAGCAAATATTTTTAGATCAAATTTTAATGCAGCTTGTCAGTTAATCCTAAGATAAACCTGAATTAGATTTACAAGCGACCTGGATACATACCTATTATGTTGCATAGAATCGAACTGGTCTCATAATGGATGAGAATAACATCGGCCTATATGCGACAGAAATAATAACAATATCTACTTTCAGTGATTTTCAGTGGTCAAATTTGTCATTGATTTTGCATGTTACATACAAAATTCTTAAGTGATATGGAGCTTACTGATATGCTGAAATTCGATGCATATAATAAATTGATCGTGGTATTTGTTTTCGTCGCAACCAAATTTGATCCAATAATAACATGTGAATACACTCCTTGGGAAAATTAACTACGGTTTGGTAAAGATTGCGTGCTAGTAAATAGTAGTAGTAAGCTCAAAGAACAAAGTTGCCATTTCAATACCTTTCTGCCAATTCGCGAAAGTGCTTTGTGAGTCTCGAAATGTTGTCACACTCTATCTTGAAGTTTACAGTGATCAAATAAAAAGTTATTTGAAGCTCATTAGTGTTTTTATGGGTAAAGGATTGAACTGATAAGCGTCTTGGTGAGTACAGCTGATTGGTTCTTTAAGACTAACTCTTCGTCACATGGATTTATCCATAATCCGAACAAACCCAATTTTGAAGTGCTTTGATTTATCGAACCACGTAAGTCGCACACACGTGGTAAACTGACAGAGAGGGGACATTAGAGTATGGACCCTTGTACATTTTCTTGTTTGTTGTCAGGTGCAGGAGTTTTACATTCAAGTGAAGTACAATTTAGGATCCTATCAATGATACTGTAGTTATTATTTATTTTTTTAAAATTTTATTTATTGTCATTTAAAAATAAAGAGGTTGAAAGAAAGATGGCTGCGCGGAGTTGATCTGCAGAAAAAGGGTTTGTATGATTTCACTTGGTTTGAAAGGTCATTTTTGAAACGCAACCATTTCATCACATTCATTTATTCTTGGACGATGCGTTCAAGTGTTTGCAAAAACATTTCCCACTTGTATCATGAATATGAAGTAAAGAAGCAGATGGCTAAAATATTTAGGATGTTCGTTACCTTGATTTCCCTCATACAAGTTACAATTTTGATGCCAGGTATAATATCATCATTTCTGTGAATTTCGGTAACTGATTAACTTTTAGCACCGATGATGTACTGTGAAAGAACCTATGCGAGTCTTGACCTTTATTTGTATTTATAAGAACATTTTTTCAATATTTTCTTTAGAGGAAATTTAATGTTTGTGCGATTATCACAGTCTTCAACAATA